TTCCTCCCCTGGAGGCAGTGAGCCCAGCGGCAGGTCCAGCTTGCCACTGAGGCAGGCGTGTCTGTCTTTTCTCAGAGTGTGAAGAGTACAAAGACCTCATTGAATCTGTGCTGGAGGAGGAGCTGCAGTACGAGGAGAAAGAACCGGTGGAGAAGAGTCCAGCTGCAAGGCTCGGGTAAGGACGTGCCTGTGTAGGAAGTGTGCAAATTCTGTTTGAAATGTGACAGCCCAGGGCTGTCCAAAGTGCCCTTAATGATAAAAATATCTCTTCTCTCAAATTTTTTAAAGTATCATACTTTATGATACTTTATGATGCTCCATATTATGATGATTAATATGGAGTATTAATTAGTAGGGCTATTAGGCAGATAGATGACTAAGAAGCTATTGTCTGGAAAATAAATTATTAGCTTGCTCAGGACCATCATTGCCCATCCTTAAAGGGTTTCAGACATGGGGTAGATTACAGCATTCAAAACATTTTTTAACCCTTCATTAAAGTGAAATTTTAGAAGCTCAAATGTATAAAACTCATTAAAGCAGAGATATTTGAAGGGGACATAGGTCTGAAGCCCTTGTTTCTTCTCTCCAGTATCTGCCTTCACTTCCCATGACTCTGTCTAGGAACTCTAGAGTTTAGAGTTTGAAAGACAATCTGTAGATAACTACTTAGTAGGACAGTAGGAAGGAGATTCAAGCATCAGATTGTTATCAAAAGCTCGGCACTTAGCCTTGAGGCCACATCAGAAGAACAAGAACAAACGGTTTGAGGAGTAGGAAAGAGAAGTTTATTACTTTGCCAGCAAAGGAGGAAGAATGGTAGACCTTCTCATCTCAAAATCTAAATTTCCTGTACATTAGCAGAAATACAGAGCTTTTCAAGGGAGTGCCCCTCAGTCCTAGGCTTTGGTGGTTAACTATTCTAATTGTCCCATCTCTGCCAAAGATAAAGCCTGTGACCTCTGCCAGCTGCCCACCTGGGAGGCTGTCATCAGGGCCTGGGATGACTGATTCCCTGGCCCCCTCCTGACCACATACCTGAGGCAAGAATGCAGGCTTCAGTTCTCAAAGAGAGTGGGGGATATTTTCAAGAGACAGAAAACATTTTTGTTGTTTTTTCAGGCCATTCCCTCTGATATAAGATGGAGCAGATGACTGTAAATATTTAGGTCAGCTTTAGGATTACATGGTTCTAAGCTTTACCTGAATGCCTACTTACATGTCTACACTCTACTGAGTACTATAAGTTGGGTAATACTTATACGGTTGTTAGCTTCACAGAGCTCACATTCTGTATTGGAACCCATGAGAAACATATAGAGTAATGCAATTGTTGCTCAGAACTTTATTTACTCTCAATTGTCTCCTTGCCGATTATGGCTTTTCTTCATGTCATTCAGAAGAATGTTATCTTTCTTGACCCTTTCACTGTTCTTTTTACCTTTCAATTAACACAGATGCACCTGTCTCACACTTCTGTACCGGGATTTTTTGGCCATTTTCTGCATAATACTTGATGTATATTATAAGGAAATGAATTTGGGCTAAAGTAAGGAACTGAAGGGGCATCTTTTCAAAGCAAAGTTAGTAACAAACAAACCCAAGGCTATTTTCTCATTCCCTCTGCCACAGGCAAGTCACACAACTTGCACAAGAATTCAATTTGGGAAGTTCCTTGAGGGCGTTTTAGGAGATGTCTCTGCTGAAACTTCTATAAGCTGCCATTCACTGCATTCACTCTCACATGTTGCTCTCATTTCCCACCTTAGGAAATATGATCCCCTAATTCAGGCTCAAGCCCAAGAACTGACCAACTTACGGCAGAAGATACAGGAAGGGAGAAGTTTCTGCTACCTTTTCTCCCAGCATGTGAAGAACACAGTCGAGTCTTTTGAGGGCCTCCTCAGGAACACTGACATTGCCCACTACCAGGGACAGAGACTCCGTGAGCAACTGGCCCAAGGAAGCCAGCTGGCAGAGAGCCTTGCCAGCAAACTCACAAGGAGTAAGTTGCCTTCAGGTTCCTCTCATGTCCCCCAAAGGAGGGAGAAAAAAATGTAAAGTTATCCTCCTTGGGCCGGGCGCGGTGGCTCACGCCTGTAATCCTAGCACTCTGGGAGGCTGAGGCGGGAGGATTGCTCGAGGTCAGGAGTTCGAAACCAGCCTGAGCAAGAGCAAGACCCCGTTTCTACTATAAATAGAAAGAAATTAATTGGCCAACTAATATATATAGAAAAAAATTAGCCGGGCATGGTGGCGCATGCCTGTAGTCCCAGCTACTCAGGAGGCTGAGGCAGGAGGATCGCTTGAGTCCAGGAGTTTGAGGTTGCTGTGAGCTAGGCTGATGCCACGGCACTCACTCTAGCCTGTGCAATGTCTCAAAAAAAAAAAAAAGTTATCCTCCTTGTAAATTATTATATTAGTTTTGATTATGATCCTTAATCTGCATGTTATTTTCTTTTCAGAGCACTCAGGTCATTAGTTTTAACATTCTTTCTAGAGTACTTAGTTTTAATCAGCAAGAGAGAGTATAGTTGGCTTACTTCATCTTGATGAGCATAAAAGAACTCGCCTTCATTTCTGGAAGATATTTTCAATGGATGAAGGATTCTAGGTTGACAGTTTTGTTTTTGTTTTTTAAAAATATGTTAAAGATGCTATTCCACTGTCTTCTGCTTACATTGTTTTCAACAAGAAGTCACAATTCTTATTTTTGTTCCTCTGTACATAATATGTCTTCTCTCTTTGGTTGGTTTTGAGATTTTCTATTTATCGCTGGTTTTAAGCAATTTGATTTAATGAGACTTCGTGTAGTTGTCCTGTTTATTCTACATATTATTTTACTTGGTTGAGTTTATTGCATCTGTAAGTTTATAGCTCTCATCAAATTTGAAAAAGTAATGGCATATATATATATCTTTTTTTCTGTTATTTCTCTCTCTCCTCTCTTTTAAAGACTCCACTTACATTTATATTAGGTCTTTGGAAATTTTCCCACAGCTGACTGATGCTCTGTTCGTTTTCATTTATCCTTTTTTCTATGTTTCATTTTGAATAGTTTCTATTTCTATGTCTTCAAATTCATTAACTTTTCTTTGGCAGTATCTAATCTGCTGGTAATCCCATCCTGTATATTTTTTATCCCAGACATTTTTTTTTTATCTATCGAAGTTTAATTTTGGTCTTTTTAATAAAGTCTTCCATGTATCTCCTTTTCATCTCATATTTTCCTCTACCTTCTTTAACACAAGTAGTTAACTATAATAATTAATATATAAGTAGTTATAAGTAACTATAATAAGTAGTTACTATAACTACTTATGACTATAATAAGTAGTTAACTATAATAACATAGTAGTTATACTAATTGTCTCAATATCTTTGAGCATTAAAGGCTGGAGTAGGTTCTGTGTTAGAGCAGTAATGGGACACAGTCATGGTCTAGCAACCAGTCTATGGCAGGTATGAAGCTTACAGCTAGAGAAGCCCAGAAGGCAGTCAGGCAAGTATCCTGGGAGCTGAGGAACAAAAGACATTTTATACTTTTCACCCTGATCCAGGCAGCAGGTGTCATGGTGATGACTCACTGCATCAGGAACACCCTGTCCAGTGGGCTCAGGAAAGCCTGCCAGCCCACTTCTCTAAACAACCTGAGTCCTCCTGGAATAATTCTCTCATAGCATTCTGAACACACATGTAGAGTGTTACATCCCTGATAATATAGGCCCCAGGTTTGCACTGTGTGAAATGGAACCTGTTTAATTTCTAACTAGCTCTTTCTATTTTTGGTTTGTAGAAAATCATAATGGTAAGATGGATGAAGACACACAAGAGCTACTGGTCTCCAGGTAACTCTGAATGCTACAGGGGCTGATAATGGAATGATGAAATCTAAAGAGGATTCAAGAAGCAAATGATCAAGGGGTCAAAGGTCCCAGATCTAGGGAAAAACAGAAACTGCTGATTATACCTATTTTGTTCATTCATTATACAAGGATGTGTCGTTTTAAAAATGGTTGTATGGCCGGGCGCGGTGGCTCACGCCTGTAATTCTAGCACTCTGGGAGGCCGAGGCGGGCAGATTGCTAGAGGTCAGGAGCTCGAAACCAGCCTGAACAAGAGCGAGGCCCCGTTTCTACTATAAATACAAAGAAATTAATTGGCCAACTAATATATGTAGAAAAAATTAGCCAGGCATGGTGGCGCATGTCTGTAGTCCCAGCTACTTGGGAGGCTGAGGCAGGAGGATCGCTTGAGCCCAGGAGTTTGAGGTTGCTGTGAGCTAGGCTGACGCCACGGCACTCACTCTAGCCTGGGCAACAAAGCGAGACTCTGTCTCAAAAAAAAAAAAAAAAAAAAATGGTTGTCTGTGCTCTTTGCAGTTCTTGTATTAGTTTTCATTTCCTAGTAATTCCTCAAGTTTAGTTAACTAGTCAGTCTGACCTAAAGGTAAATTAACCAGAGCCCCCTAGTTTCTGTATCTTAAAGACCTATATGGTTAAAAACCAAAGTGAGATCCCTATCTGGTTTCTGCACAGTTATCCTGAAGTATATTGACAGATATTTCCTAGCCAGAAAAACTACCTTGAAAAATACATTTTAAAAATATCAAATATTTAGAGAGAGGGTCTTAAAAGCTGCAAAAGCCCTGGGAGGTTACACTGTCTTAGGAGCCAGTATTCAACGGACCACTTCATATAATATTAAATAATATTTGTACACAGCATTTTGAAGCCGATAGTATGGGTCGCTGTGTGTCATAAGTGTATTTTAGAGTAGTCGTTGAGTCTACTTCTTCATCCATGTGCCACGAGGTCAGCACACTGAGCATCTGCTGCTCCCTCTTCTACTCCAACTCTAAGCACACTATACTCCCAGTCAGAAGTGAATTGTTAATGCTTCTTCTCCAGTAAGATGGTCCCTTTGGTTTTTGGTGCCTCTACCATGAGCTTCAGATCAGGACCAGCTGTGAAGCTGGGCTCCAGGTTGCCTTGGTTTAATCCCTTGTCTTGCCTACCCCAACAGGCTCAGCAGGGATGTCCAGGAGGCGGAGCTGAAGGACTCACTAGATGAACGGTATTTGACTGGCGTCAGCCGCCATGATTCCCAGCAGCCTCCCAGCAGCAACGCTTTCCTGTCTGGTGCACAGGAAGCCACCTCTGCTCTGGATGTAGCCAGTGAGTTCTCCCCTTATAACAAAAACAAGCTCCAAAAACTTTCCAGTAGTTTCTACATTCTACACGCTCACCACTACCGTGAGAGGTATCATCTTTGTAGGCAGGCCCTAAAGCTTCACCTTGGAAAAGTGATTAGGTTCTGAGATCAAGTCTCAAGTGCAGGTCCCTAGTAAGTCAGGTAATTTGTATTGTTCCTAGTCCACACCTCACCTCGATCACTCTGATGGGCTCAAGGCAGGTCACAGTGTAGAGAGTAAAGGGATCATGGCAAACGCTGCCACCATTGCAGCACCTGTACAGAATCTTATCTAACAGACTTCTTTCTTTAAGGTGGGACATCTCATCTTTCCTGAAATGTTCTTGATAATTATAGTTACTGAACAGTCTTTCTAAGATTTTCTAGCTGTCCAAGAATGTTAGCAGTCCTGAGCATATTTTTGGAAGTGCAATAATCATGGTATTATTTCAAGTTCCAGTCTCCGTCTCCTCTTGAGTGCTTGCCTCCCTATAAGGTACAGCTGAGTACCAGAACATCAGGTGATTTCACTAAAGACAAGACTCTGAGCTTGGCAGCCCTTGGGTAAATGGCCAGGGTCCCCATCGTTTGTGCAGCACAAAAGATCTTTGGGGGTATAAGCCAGTCTAAACCAACAACAAGGATATCTGCTGTAAAAAAAGCTGAATGCCAACAGCAATGCCACCAGCATTCCCCCTTCCCAAAACAACTCCAAGGAAGCCAGTGGAGCTTCCTCAGGTATGTAAGGGCCCTTTGGAGCAGTGGCCTCATTGGAATGTGTATAAGTTAAAACCTTAACCTTTATCTCCTTTCCCTTACTTGACTGTATGACTTTCCTTTGGGGACAAACATTTGGATTTTGTTAGGGGACTATATGTCTTATATCCTCTTTGAGACAAGAAAAATACTATATTATTTAATAATTCAAATGAGGGTTTTTGTTTTTTGTTTTTTGTTTTTTTGTAGTAATATAAACCATGTTAGGTTTGTCTTTCTACCTCTTTTGCCCAGTGGTGGATATAAGTATGTGCCTTTCATTACCAAGGCCTATTATTCTCTTACAAAGGCATTCTCATTTCCATTTCCAATTTCACCCTGAGGTGCAGAGGAAGATCTTTACCCTTTACCGTCTATTAAAGATGTTTGGGAGAGGTATTTAGTGGAGAGGAAGCTATTCTCTAGTACCTACAAGTCATCCCAGGGAGGTGGCCACACCTTGCCCAGTGCTAGACAAGCCCTACATGGAGGCCTTCAGTGTTTTCCCACCTCCTGTCAACCTCCCTTACACTTCCCATATCCCTGTGTGGGAGGCAGCCCTGTGGAGTTGGCTTAGCACTTGACCATGCTTTGTTAGAAAGCCTAAGAGTTTTTAAAGGAAGTTGTATAGTGTTCCCTGATGAGAGGATCAAGTTGGCAGAAGAATGATGAAAGACAGATATCTTGATAAGAAGATATCTGGCTACCCCATTAGTGATGAGGATTCTTTATCTCCTATCTTATTCCATGCCCTGATGGAATGGCTGCAGACGATGAGATCCGGAACCTAGAGCAGCACCTGAGGGAAACTCTTTTCATCAATGACTGCCTGCGAGAAAAGTTGGAATATCATCTCAGCATCTTTGACCAAAGAAACGGTAGGTGAGGCCCAAGTTGGCCTGCTTCTGGCAACATGTATCTTTCTAAGGGCATGTCACCAGGACAGAACTTTACAGATTTCAAGCACTTTGATATACCTTGTTTCACTTATTTATCACAAATGGCCCAACTAGGGAGGTAGGGCAGATACTATTATTCCTATGTTATAGGTGAATAAATAAGCTTAGATTTTATAGGTGACTAAATAGACTTAAATAGAGACTTGCCCCAAGCCTAAGCTATGCCTCCATCTGAGAGCCATCTGACGTAAAAGATCACTCTTGTGATTCCTATGCTGTGTACTGTCTGCTGTCTGTGCGCTTCTTATGTGATTGTTATTCAGTAGAACCCAGGTTTCTGAGCTCCTCATTCAGCAGAGTGAGGGTCTCCTCTGCTGCCATCTTCATCCGCCTCCAGATGTCTTGGTTACTCTTCATGAGTCCCCAGGGTGGTTCTCCTCGCCCCCTTGGATTGCTCTCACACAGAGGACATCATTCCATGACATCATGCTGGGCCTGAAGAACAGTGACCAGGTTCCTTCCCATACCAAAGCTGCAGCTATTTAGTGGGAAAAGCCTCTTCATACTGCAGCCATTGGGTATGATAATGCATGTGTGAGTGTGCTGGCATTTATTAAGGATCATGTGAAAACTAAGCTTCTGTCCCATCACACTGAAGTCCCAGCCTTTGATTCCCCACAGTTTTTTTCCCTAGGCTGAGATAGAAAGGAAGGACATAAAGCGTTCTCTTAAGCAAACATGTGTAACTTGCCTAAGTTATAATTATTTCCTGGAACAGGATGCAACTCCAACCTCTACAGGCAGATCCTAGATTCCATTGCCCAGCTGTATAATGAAAACAGAGTCCTCTGGGATGAATACCAGAGACTTCCTGCTTGCCTGAATCGTACTTCCAGAGGTAAGTGGTGAAAGCCCACAACGTGAAGTCACTCTCAGATGGCTCCCTTCTCTTGCCACACCCAACTATAGAAACAAAAGAGGATGGGGAAGCCAGAGCTGCCCAAAGCCTCGTAACCCACAATTCTCATATTCTCAATTCAGATAGGGCTGCTTCCTTGGTGCCCCCCTATAGGCTCCCAGACTACCAGGCTCCAGGGATGAGTAGTTCTGGGAAATCCAACATGTAGGTCCAAAACACACTCCACTATTGCAAGCTGGAGATGAAAAGAACAAGCTTAAAAGATGAAAATGTTTACGAGAACAATTAATTATTTTAATTGAGTAAAATTTGCTAAGATTAGATAAACTTTCCCCTAGAGTGCTGAAAGAATAAGCATACACCACTTAGATTCTAAGGCACTGCTCTTGGAGGAAGTATGGAGACCAAAAAGTACCATGAGCCAAAAAAGAAACAAAAATCCCAATTTTTAAGCTGATGAAAATAAATCACTAAAAAAGTTGAAATAAGTATAGTTGATGTTGGTCTTGGAAAAATGCAAATGTATTATATTCGAATTATAATATCCTAGTCAGCTTATTGTGCCCATCTCTTACTATTGAGAAGAAAAATGAAAACAAAACAAAAATATCTTCAAAGTGGTAAAAATGTTTATAAACCTGCAAAATATCTCCAGCCTATCCCCTAAACCCCGGACTTTGTCTTTACTGAGCTCTTACTGTATATAGTGTCCACCTCAAAATTCATCCCTATACAAATTCTGTTAGGTATCAGCCAACATCACCTAGGAGTCTTTTTACCCTCTCATGCCTGTGGTTTGCTTTTGCTTCCAAGGACCCTTCTAAGTAGGAATGTTCTCAGACTATTGGAGTCACTTTGCCTGGTAGCTCAGAGAGCTGGAAGTACCTGGGAGTTTATGTCAATCCCACAGCACCCAGCAATCCTGCCTACAAAGATTTACCCATGATTGACAGGTGCAGGTGTATAGAAGTCCAGCTACTTGATTTTAGGGAATTCTAGTGGTGATTCGCTTTGGGAAAAGGGAATCCAGAGGCCAACTTTGTAAAGACCCAGAAGGATAGATAGAAGAAAATCCTTGCCTTATAAATCTAATTGAGAAAGAGAATGATTTACTTGAGACTGAGAAGGAAGACGAAAATCTTTAGGTCTAATGGAAAAGAAGCCTATGGTAGAAGAGATAAACAAGGAGAATGGTGGGAAATAGGGTGGGTCTACTGAGTAGCTTTAAATCATGCTGTCATATGATAAGAACCTGGTAAGATTTTTAACTAACACAAATGTCTGGACTCACACATAGGGATTCTGATTTAAATGGTTTCAGGTGGGTGAGGGACATTAGTAGTCTTAAAAAGCTCCCAGGTGATTGTAACATGTGCTAGAGATGAGGACCATCAATCTAATAGAATCGCAGGTCACAGCATAGAAGTGTCCCTAATGTGCAGCTACTTCATAGGAAAGGCTTAACAACAGCCATTGGTGGACTTTGCCTACGTCTCTCAATGTCTTGTTTGCATAGCATGGAAAAGAGATGAGAAAAAGAGGTAGATGGTTGGATTGAACCTATAAACTGCGTAGAACAGAATTTCTCAAACTTTTTTGGCCATATGATGCAGTAAGAAATACACAACCCTCTGTGACCCAGTACACACACACACACACACACACACACACATATACACACATAAGCCCCTATTATATGAAATGGCCCCTACTTAGTATTTAAATAAAATTTATTGTAGTCAACAGTAACTATATTGATTTTACAAGCCACTAATGGTTTAGAATTGCAATTTGAAAATTTTTGTCTTTGGTCAGCCTTTTTATTAAGCAAAATCCCAAAAGAGAGCTTTTAGATCTTATTCTCCTAATGAGAATATAAGAGCAATAAGACCTAAAACTTGAGGGAATAGCTTTTATATTTATATTTGCCTTCCTTACACTGGAATCAAATACTGAAAACAAAAAATAAAAAGCAAAAAAAAAAAAAAAGTTTCCCTAATAGGTAGTTTGGAAAGAATTAGGTGATGGAGAATACCTGGAATGAGAAATTAGTACTTGTTCACTCTTCATTTAAGAACTTTATTAGTTTATCTAATGAAAATGTTCCTAGAAATGTTCCTAAGGAGCAATCTGATGTGGAATTAAGTTTGTAGAATGTTGGTCTTCAATGGGTGTAAATGGATCAGCCCAAGGTTTACTCCTTGCTCTTTATTTGCTAATTTCCTTTTTTCTCTTTATGATGATTCCTTCTCCCTTGCCTACCTTATCTCTTTAGAAGAACATTTATGAGAGTCTTTTTAAAGCCTTATTCCTATCCCAGCCAAGGTGACCCAATAGTCTCTAGAACCTACTAGCTTCCTCCATATTGAAGCCTTCCCTCTAACTTCCCTTAAACTCTGTGATGTAGTAGAAAAGGTCTCAAGCCTGGATTCTAGTCTCAGGCTTGTCACCTACAGGTCATATGGCTTTAGCTAGTCCTTCACCTCTTAATACCACTGTCTCTTCATGGCCAGAGATGGAACTGTACTTGGATGGTTTGAGGCTCCTGCTGCCTTTCACATTCTAGGGCACTTCTTTTGGCACCACCCTCCTATTTAAAAGGAATAGGGCATGGATTTAGAAGGGACATTTCTCTACAAAATATCTTCTCTTTCCTATAACAAGTTGTTTTCTGAATGTGCATGTTTGAGGCATGAAGGAGGTGTGAAAGACCTTTATTTTTCTCCAGAAGAAGAGAGTGGAGAGTAAACTGATGCTGGGGAGGAGGTGGCAGGGACCTGGCTAACTCACCTGTAGCGGCTTTGAGCCAGGGTTATTGGCATCATGAGGTCTTGGGGCCCTGTGTTCTACTTTGCAGGCCAGCCAGTATATTTCAGGAGACTTTCTGTCTAATCTGTTATTACCACTATCTCCTTGCAGACTGTTCACCACTAGAGCTTACCCACTAGCCACACTCAGTTTGCACCTGGCCCCTAGCACCACTTAGCTCTCACTCCAGCGTCAGTTAGGTGTCAGCAAGACCTGGCAGAAGATTCTTACTCAGTTGGTTTTGTTTTGTTTTGTTTTGTTTTATGTTTCAGGTAACAACTAATGTTGGAAGTATGAAAAGTTCCTGTTTAATTTCAACAAAGCTTAGTCACAAACCATTCCCCAATTGATGAGAAAAACAAAAACAACAAAACAAGTGAAAATCCAAATCTAAAAGCAAGAGGGCTCCACCTCTAAGAACCAAATTTTACAGCCACTCGAGATTTTTACTCCAGATGAATAGTTTGGTCGCAGAAATCACAGCCCTTCAGCCTGCAAAGGTGATAACTTCCCAAGGGATCTAGTGTCGATATTCACAGATAATCTTGAAAGGCCCTCCCTTTTCCTTCCCCACTCCCATCCTATGTATGATTGGAGTCTACAGCAGCTGGAGGAGAATAAGTCAGAATAATGCCCCTGCAGACTATTCATCAGCTCTTCAGCATATGTCCATTTTCCTTGAAGGTTGAGGTTTAGAAACCTCTGTGAATAAAGTTTATTTTGTACTCATTCTGTTGCCTATTGTTTTTCATACAAATCAAATTTATAAAGCTTTCTTATTCCAGCTAAAAGCAGGAAAGTTGATCATTAATATGTCCACTGCATGTACACCACAGAGTGATAGCAACCAGTTTGGGTGCACCACTTTGTTCCAAAATAAGTGTTAGTGCTTGTGTCAAAAAACTACGTTGTGTCCCACATTCTGGGGAAAGGCAGGCAGAAATTCTGCCTCTGCAGGGAAGCAGATCTGTAAGCAGGGCAGCAGTCACACACAAATTCACTCCTGGGCAACGCAAGAAAACAGTGATAGAATCTCTGCCAAAGAATGATCTTCAGAGTTTGCTGTTCATTCATGACCTGGAAAAATCTGTGTAGGCCAGATCCATCCTAAAGTCTTCTATAGGATCCACAGGTAGAAATAATATATCCAGATGTGATACTCCTTTGGATTTCTTTGTCAGAAAATAAATTCCCCGTACCTATTGGCTTGTCTTTTGCAATCAAATATAAAAGTGGGACATCTTATTCTGAAGCTTTGAGCCATAGAAAGTAGCCTCAAACCTACCAGACTTCTAGGTGAGAAGGATGATTCATGTAAGAAGGACAAAGAAGACACGTCACTTATTTGCTAAGTGAAAGGAGGGGCTCCCTTACATGAGTTTGTACAGCAGACTAATGACCTACATTTTCTTGTAGCAGTGAGTGGTACTGAGGACTGTACCCTCTCCTGCAAGGAGACCCACAGACAGCCAATTTTTAGCCTAGAACTCAGCCAGCTGTTTATAGCCTCCTGTGTTTTACATTTTCCTCCACAATTAATTTGAAACATTTCAAACCTATAGAAAAGTTTGGAAAACAATATAATGAGTGCCTCTCCACACTGTTCATCTAAGTTCAACAATTAACATTTCATTGGGTTTTTTTTTCTGTCTACACATACCTACACACATTCATATTTCTTTAGTGTATGCAAACCAAAAATACTCCACTGCACCCCTAAATATTTCATCATGTATTTCCTGAGATTAAGGACATTATCCTATATAACCATAATATAATAAAATTAATATATGGTCCAAATAAAAATGTCCTAATTGTTTAGAAAATATCCTATCTATATATGTGTATGTGTATGTATATAGGTATGGATGCACATATATTGTGTGTGATTAACTAGAATCTATAAAGAACTCAGGCAAATCAGCAAGAAAAAAATCAAATAACCCCATTAAAAAGTGGGCAATAGACATGAACAGAAACTTTTCAAAAGAAGATAGACTAATGGCCAACAAACATATGAAAAAATGCTCAACATTTCTAATCATCAGGGAAATGCAAATCAAAACTACAATGAGATATCACCTAACTCCAGTGAGACTGGCTTTTATTGAAAGTCCCAAAGCAATAAATGCTGGTGTGGATGTGGAGAGCCAGGAACACTCATACACTGTTGGTGGGACTGTGAACTAGTGCAACCTTAGTGGAAAGTACTATGGAGATACTGCAAAGAACTAAAAGTACCTACCATTCAATCCAGCAATCCCACTACTGAGTATTTATCCAAAGGAAAAAAAAAAAAAAGCATTTTTATTAAAAAGACATCTGCACTTGAATGTTTACAGCAGCACAATACACAGTTGCAAAGATGTGGAAACAATCCAAGTGCCCATCAATACATGACCGGATTAATAAAATGTGGTATATGTATCCCCTGGAGTACTACTCGGCCATAAAAAATGGTGCACTAATGATACCTCTTATGTTAACCTGGATGAAACTGGAGCCCATTCTTCTAAGTGAAGTATCACGAGAATGAAAAAACAAACACCACATGTACTCACCATTAAATTGGAGCTAATCAATCAATCACTTACGTGCATATATGGAAATAACATTCATCAGAAATGTAGCAGGTGGGGTGGGAGGAGGAGATGGCTAAATTCACACTTAACAGGTACAAAACACACTATCTGGGTGATGGGCACACTTATAACTTTGACTCCAATGGCACAAAACCAATGTATGTAACCAAAACATTTGTATCCCTATAATATTCTGAAAATTTAAAAAAAAAGCAACTGCTAGAGAAAATGGCACATTCGTCCCCAAACTTTGTTTACAAGTTCACATCCAAAGAAGACCTTACAAAGAAAAAATATTAATATCTTTCAGCAAAAGGAAATTCTTTCTGCCTGTTGGCCTTTTGCTATGAGGCAAATGTGAAGAGTTCTCAGACACTGCCTTTCTCTGAAAACTACCCTTACCTCTTTGTTAACATTTACATTCTAGGACCTATTGAGCAGGACAATTAAAAAGACAAATCAAAAGAAGTTCTGGGCATTTTAAGGCAGCAGTCCCCAATCTCTTTGGCATGGATTTGGGCAGGGCAGGCGGAGCTCAGGCGGTGATGTGAGCTACGGGGAGCGGCTGTAAATACAAATGAAGCTTCCCCGCCACTCACCTCCTGCTGTGCTCCCCACATCCCCCCACCTCCCATCCCCCACCCCGCCTAAGTTTCATGGAAGACAATTTTTCCCCGGTGCAGAAGAGAGCAGCAGAGCTCTGCAGTCGGGTCCCTAACAGGCAGTGGACCGGCCGACAGCGGGCTTGGGGCCCGCAGTTATAAAGAAAGAAAACTGCTCTTCAGAAAACAAATCTCGCGAGAGAGGCGGAGATCCTGTGATCGTGAAATCTGCCCAGGCTGCCCCAGGGTCCTCCGCCAGAAGCGGACTCGAGGTCCTTGCGTTTTACTTCGGCCTCAAGGCCTGGCCTTTAAAGGAAGTGAATGCAGGCCAAGAAGCATGAGTTGGCCGGGGTCAGATGTTCGATATTTATCAAGCAGACAAATGCCCTGAGACATAGCCTATGCTACGGTAATGCCCAAAACACGAGGACACGATTGAATAATTGAGTCCAATAGAATAAGCGACAGTGGCAGAAATCGGAAGGCCCCCCTGTGCTGGGAGGACCCTTCAAAGGCGCGGAGGCGACAGCGCTTGGGAGGGAAGGACACGGCTTGGACGGATCCAGGGTGGACTCGAAGCAACGATCATCTGTGGAGAGCCAAGAGCCCTGACCGCCGGCGTCCAGAAAAAGGCCACCGAGGCGCGGTCCGCAGCCCGACAGGGGCGGCGTCCACACTCCTAAGCGCCTGGGGTTGGGAACGGGGGAACTGGCGCGAACGGGGAGCCCGGGAGTCCGACGTTCAAAACCCGCCGCCTCCTGCAGTTTCTGGGAGCGGGAGAGTCAGCGGGGAATCTTAGTTCTCGATCTGGAGCCTGCGTGAGGTGGGGGATCCCGAAACCAAATTGTGGGTCCCCAGGGTCTTGGCCTCGGGAATAGGCGCAGAGCCCAAAGCCCGGACCTATGGGAACTTCAGTTTCTCTGCCTGAGGTATCCCTGGCGCTCCTGGGGTCTTTTTCACTCAAATTTCGAAATGCAGTTGGATTTCTTATGTTGGAACCTAGAATCGTTGCAAACGGCAGGTATTACGATTTCCATGGTTACATTGCAAAGTACAAACGTATGTCTTGTTTCCGTAGTGTAGTGGTTATCACGTTCGCCTCACACGCGAAAGGTCCCCGGTTCGAAACCGGGCGGAAACAGCATTGTTTTCCTGAATGTTAATCCTTTCTCAACAAAGGCGGGGGCGGAGAAAAGGGTCGACTGGACTACACTAGTATAAGGGAGGCAAATGTGTAGCTGCATCTTTGAGTCTCAAAAGACATGAGAGGTTGCCATTACTACCACCCAACCGATCTACTGCCCACCAATCCACACCTAATTTTTCGCCTCCTAGGTCTTCTGGCAAGGAGACCACAATTGTCACCGGCTCCCATGAAGGGAGGTGAGGGCATATGTCAGTGACGTCTTCAGGAGACCAGGAAAAATCCCTTAAGTGATTATGTCCCTGAAAGCTCAGGAAGTATTTCAGGGGGTCCTAGGTGGCTTCCCTCCAGCCCGGAGCACAGTTGCAGAACAGGTTCATTCACCTGAGAGAAAACCAACCTAAATCCGCTTCCGGATCTCAAGCTGAGGCTATATAGAGTCAACCTTCCACAGCCACACCAATTAAAAGTGTATATTTTTTATATTAGAATTGCACAGGTTCTTCTACCCTAAATGATCTCCGGAAAACTGTGAGGGTCCAAACCACCGTCCGGAGGTTCAGGCAACCAACAATTTTAACAGCTGCGATTCCCGCTGTGGGCGCACGATCCCGGAAGGCGCTCACCCCTGGCCAGCCCTTCTCTGCTTTGTCCCTGCGCGTTGGCAGCTCTGCCTTGACGGGTCTGGGGCCGCTGCGCCCAGCGCTGGCTGTGCCCTCTGTTCTCTGGAGGGAGAGCTTAGGCAGCCTGGTGCCACAGGGCGCCGCTCGGACCCGCTGAGTGGCCACCACCGGTGTAGCTGCAGGCCAAGCGCCCGCATCCTCAGGATCCGCCCTTTACCCAGGCGCAAGGCCCAACCCTCTCCCCACAGCTTCCTGCCAGCGGTACTTGGGCTTTTACCCACAGCCTTGTCCTTCCTTGGTCTTTACAGCCATTGCCTCTAAAGAGTCACCACCTTGGAGCTATCTGTCCCGCTGCAGAGCTGCGCTGCTTCCTGGAGGTTTACTTTCTGCCCAAGGCCCAGCACTGATGTCAGGGATCAGCAGTGACTTCATGATTCTCTGCCTGGACTTCAAGGACTCTTGGATCCACCAAGAGTGTAAGGGAATGTGACCAGGTTATTAGTTGTAAACGTTCCTTTCTACACGCAGAACCGCCCCAGAACACACCTCCCACGCTGGGGGGGGGGTTGCTGCACCCCAGGCCAAGCACTGATTACTGCAGTATCACAGCCCCGCCCCCAAGCCAGCCAAGTCTATAAGTAGACAAAGTCATTAGCATCTTTTATTCCCCCCAAAAAACGCCAAGGGAATTTTTCTTTTCCTCATTTCCTCAGCTGACAGAAGCCCTGCTCCTGGCTGCTGAATCTCTGCATAGACCAGGCTTACCTGAGTAATAAATA